ATCATCGGTCCATTGCCGCCATCACAGTCCTTTAGGTACTGTCTGACGGTAATCGATCGTTTCACCCGTTGGCCGGAGGTGTATCCACTCGAACGTATAACAGCAGATGATGTCACTAAGGGTTTCCTCAATTGCTGGATTTCACGCTTCGGAGTACCTCAATACGTTACGACTGACCGTGGTACTCAGTTTGTTTCAGCTACTTTAAAAACTTTAGCAAAACGTTTTGGTTTTACGCTTCGCCCCACTACCAGTTGGCATCCTGCTGCAAACGGATTCGTCGAACGAATGCACCGACAACTAAAGGCAGCCATCATGGCCCACGCAAAAGACTCGTGGACTGAGTCACTGCCTATCGTGCTTCTCGGAATACGTTCTGCGTTTAAGGAAGACTTAAAAGCCACGTCTGCGGAACTTGTTTATGGTGAGCCTCTTAATCTTCCTGGTGATTTCTTCACAGACAAGCAAGATAATAGCAGTACGAACGACCCTACTAGCTTACTAGATCGTCTTCGCAGTGTTATGAATAAAATTCGTCCAGTACCTGCATCTCGCCACTCAAATCCACGATCATTTGTTTTTGCGGACCTTAAGGACTGTTCACACGTATTTCTCAGGGAGGGAGGTGTCCGAGCAGCACTTCAACCGCCATATCAAGGTCCCTACGAAGTAATTGCCCGAAATGACAAAACGTTCACAATAAAAGTTCGAAATCAATCAGTTACGGTGACGATTGATAGAGTAAAACCTGCCTACCTCATGGTGAACGAAAGCACAACCGTTAGCCAGGCACATGCTCCACCAGCGACTGCCCCGGATACGACCAAACAGAAACAACCGCCTAATACCGATCCATCAACACAGCCAGTACGAACAACTCGCTCAGGCCGCCGAGTCAGATTCCCGGACATTTTTGACCCTAGCTAACTCCACTCCGTAGGGGGGTGGTGTGGCGGTCAAATATTCTAGAATGTCCGGCCGCCGCCGCCTCTAGAAGATTCCTCTGACTATTTAAGGGCAAGATCGTCGCTCCAGTCAGTCAGTCGATCAGTCAATCACTTACGTATTCTGTCTTACACGCGCTTCGTCTCTCGCTGTTATTTATTAGTTCGTTGTAATACAGTTCGTCTCTCGCTGTTATTTGTTAGTTCGTTGTAATATAGTATAGTTGTTATTAAATCTTAAAAGTGTTTATTACTTCTATACATTACACCTCGCTACAATAGTATTTTAAATTTTGCGAGTAATTAAATGGTTTTATATTATTACAATATAAGTATTATTAAATTTGTATCGTGATTACTAATTATGTCAAATTTGTTAAATGTGGTTAATTATAAAATTGATTTTTTGTTAAACAATAAAAAAGTTTTCATTTTTTTCAGATTTCGCACAAAAAGCTCTAAATTTTAAAAGTAACTAAAATTTTTAATATTAATTATTCTAATCAACATTCATTTCTACAGATAATTAACAAAATGAAATATTCACGCAGGATTAATGTAAGAGATCGCTGGGTATAGTGCGAAATAATTTTGTAGGGCTGATAATATTTTTTAATTTATAAAGGATCATAATTTTATTTTGAACGAAAATATTATAAATCAAGGGAAATCAAAGGAAGACATCTTTATTTATTACTGATTTCATCTCTGTTTACGTGTTTAACATTTCTTGACGCAATTGTTACGAAACAAAACTTGTCACTTAATATTTTTCCATGTTTGACCATTTCTAGACAAATACAAATATATTTAGTTAATATTAGAAAATTTTATTTATTTAGCTAGGTAGATTAAAAAATATATCCATTTTATGTTATATTTTTAATTACTGAATATTTTTTATTATACTTTATTTTACTTTAAAATCCTTAATAAAATAATTAAGGATGACAAAATAAATAAAACTGTAATCATTAAATTTTTGCAACAAAATAATTATTTGATCAAAAATATTTAGTAATATACTTAATATATCTCGCTATTTATTACTAATTTGAATTTTCTTAAAAAGCGTTATTAATTTAATTATTGTTTTTCGCTTCAGCAAGCATGTCGAAAAATGCAAGTAAGTTAAATTTGATAAATAGGAAAAATTGTTTCTAGTTAGCGACTTATCTTTTATTAAAATTTAAACATTCACGAAAAAATAAACGTACAAAATAACCAAAATATTGAATATTCAAAATAGTATGACATCGATTAAGCTAGAATATTGAAGTTCAAATAATAGAATACTATCAATAAAATATCCGAGTAGTGTAAAATAAGGATAGACGGAGGAGGTTCAAATTTTTATAATGTTGGAAATATGCTTAACTAAGCGTCTGATTGTCGATGATAAAATTCTTAGAAAATGTTAGCTTTTGTTATCATAAAAATGTTTATCAATATTTCAATTTGACACCTCGTTTGGCCACACCCCTTCCCTACTCACTTGGCAAATGGTGTGGGGGTGAGTCGAGGGCCCTGCTTTTTTCCATTTGACCCATATAAATTAGGTAACATTAAGTGATCTGTTACATTCAAACTAATATGGTCCAATTTAGACGACTCTCTAAATTTTGATTAACTGAACAAAGATATAAATATTTATTAAATAGTAATAAATCATGAAATAATCGAAAAATAAATCATTTATAATTTTTTTATTTGTTCTTAAATTAGTAACCTTGTCTAGGAATGCAAGTAAGTAATCTAGAAATTTCTAATGACAATTATTTAGTCGTAAAAAATGGGTAATCTTAATTTAAGAATTTCTTAGCATAAAAATATTTCAGACTCTTTTGCAGCCCTATTCAATATAGGGCATATTTCGGATATACTTTGAGTTAATCTGAAAATTGTAAAAATATTTATTAATTAATAACTTTTCATGTTTTTATTCCTAGCTGTGACCTCTATATTCTAATATCTATGGCCTCTTGAATGTAGGCATTAAATATTAAAAGTGATAATGTACATTCCTGTCTAACACCTTTCATTATTTTGGACTTTTTTTGAATAACTCTCATTTTTATGATTGCTATTTCATTTTTATACAATTCATATAGCAGTTTTCTTTCCGTGGTTGCAACTCCAGCTCTTTTCAGCATTTTTAACATTATTTCCCAGTTAACATTATCGAATTCCTACTCAATGTCAACAAATGCAATAAATGTCGATTTATTTTTCTGTATTCTTTTTTTCACTGTTAATCTTAAAGCCAATATCGCTTTTCTCGTACCCATTTTTTTTCTAAATCCGAATTGGCCTTATGATAATATTTCTCCCATCTTTTTTTCCATTCTCTTATACATAATTGTTAAAATATTTGAGGCGTGCGAGAGCAAGCTAATTGTTCAATATTGTTCACACTTTTTAGTTGATGTTTTCTTTGGAATGGGAATATCTTTGAAGACAACTTTTAGTTTGAACTATATTTCAGTGATTTTTTTAAAAATTATTTTATCCCTATCTTTTTTCATGTAAATATCTATAGCCAATATACCTCCAAAAAAGGGGGAATACCTTTCATTTGCATTAAAAAAAAATATACACATTTATTGTAATAGCATAACATTTAGAGTCTTAGAACCAAAGATATAACAATTTTTGCTAAAGTGGCCGTTGTTCCCCCAGACTTCCCTAATATTATTATTTGGGTTTTTTTTTACTTCATATACCCGTAAGATAGTAATTGATTGTTTAGAAGAAGAATATAGGCTAAACGATTATTGAAATTTCCAATTTATATAGTATGATAAAATTTTAGTGAAATTTCTAAAACATAGCAATTGTAAAATTACAAATATATTAATTATTGTGAAATTAAACATATTTGTATCGAATCTGTTAGTTATTAACTGATGTTAGTCATTATTAGGTATTATCTATTCAGAGTGAAATGAAAGTCAGAAACTGCTCGATTTCTTGCCAAATAAATACAATATTGAAAACAAATGAATATTTTTTAATTTATAAGCTTTTAATTAATTTTTAGAATTATCCATTAAACTTAACGGGTGACAACTTATTTTTTTAAATGGCAACATACATAATTAATTCATTTATTTAATAGATTATGATACAACTAAAAAAATTAAGCGTTGATAACAATTTTTCGACTAGTATTTCGGAAATATTAATGTTTTATAATGAAGGCTGGAGGTAAAACGTGTGTGTTGTTACTTTTATTACTAGTAATTTCCTGGCCGTATTCTTCTTCTCACTTAGTAAATATTTTTACATTGTATCCTTTATAAAAATCAAAGAACAAATCAATTATTTCAGAACAAACTATTTATTTTAGTTAAAATAAATCAGAATCAATTTTTAATGATGGGTGACTATAGGATAGGTCAAAAAAGATTTTCATAGAAATCTATTTTACAACTTTAAACTTTTTGAACATTGAATAAAAATGTATTTTTGTTTAGTTCCTTACATCCTTTAGCATATTTTGGTGTTAGAAACATTGTTAAGCTTTAATATTAAGATTGTAAATTTAAAAAAGTCACATGAACACATTAATGTATAAAAAGATTTAAAGAGTTAAAGAATTTTCGGAGTTACTTAATATAATTATCAAATGTCTTTATGAATTTATATTATTAATTAGACCTGTTTTTAGAGCGTATCTTAGCAAAATTTTGTTTAATGAATAATATACAACATGTTCAAGGTATGAAATATTAACTTTAAGCTTTTTCTAAAATTTGATAACGTTTTCAATTTATTTTTAGAGGATCATACAGAAAATGAAATGAATGATGTATTAATTGATACACAAATAAACGAAGCTATGAATTTATCGAGAAATGTGTCTATTGATTATCAAAGAAATGAAGTTATTGATACCCAAAGTTCTTTAATTATAGATACATCAAATAATGTAATTACAGACTTGACAGATTTTGTAATAAGAAACGACGATTATGATTATGATCCATTTTTAAACGCTGATATTTCAAATAAAAGTAAAATCACTTATTTTTATTTCAGTTCAAGATTTAATTAATTAGTTTATTTTAATACTTTTAGTTCTAAATACTATATTACAAGACTGGCCAGAAGATAAAGGTAATAAAGCAAGTATTGTTTACATTAAATAAGTTACTCTTATATGATATAAATATATATTTCGTATGGCTTAGTATGAACAACACATTTTTATCTTACTAAGTTATTAAAAAAAATTACAATTAGTTCGTAGTAACTTAACAAAAATAAATAACTGAATAGTTATATACAGAGTGATCGAAATCTGGTAAGACCCTCATTTTCTCAGGAACTATTGAGAATTTAAAATTTTATTATAGAGAAAAAATATCAAAAATTCAAAAAACTCTACAATAATATGTAGTCAAATCATTATTATTTTCGTCCCTTCAGGGATAAAAACCCTTATTTATATTTTTCTTAAATGGGAACCCCTATTTTTAATTTTAAAATATGTTAGAAAAAAAATTACAAACAATTTAGTTAATACAATTTTTTTTTCGATTAAAAGTTTATCCGTTACAGCTTGTTAATGTTAAGTGATTTTAGGCCAAGTTTCTATTGTTATTTTACTGTATTAAATACAGAAGTCATTATTTTTGTTTGCTGTTGTATAAACCAAATTTTATTAACCAAGTTATGACAGGTAAATTAGCTATAATAATCTACTAAATGAGTGATAACAATAATAGATTCAAATCGGGTTTTCGGTGTATTCTTAATAGCAAAGTCTATGGATGTGTAAGACTTACAAATAAAAATAATGACTCCAGTATTTAATAATTGCACTTTTTTCCATACTAATTCCTTCCACGTAAAGTTGTAAGATTCAGAGCTGAGGTCACAAGTTATATAGCCCTTTAAAGGGCTATTTTCAGAGTAAGACAAATCAGTGTTGCTCATGGTTGCTGTGTGGTTAAGAATAACAGTACAACAGCTGGTGGTGGTAGATCATTAGCCGCCAATAACGTTTCCCAATGTACACAGAGATCTACCAACGTACTCCTATAACATGATTATTTTTTATATACATTATGATCCAGTGGTGTATTTAAAAGGTAGAATTAATTGCCCCGGACATTATATTTTATGAGGTATGTGATGGGATTAAATGATACTTTCTTTTTAACAAGAAAGGTTACAAGCCCCGAAATAGCACACTATTCATTTACAATGAATTAACACGATATACGGTCGTGATTATCAGGTGTCCACCGTCGCACTCATTAGTGTTGACGATAACACTAAGTTTGTCTTGTCTGGTCGTCGGTAGATAGGACAGGTCAGAAGGTGTAGCACCGTGAGACACGTCGGCGACTAGGTGAACCAGTTCACCTGGGACTTACATCCGCAACATATGCCGTCAAAATATATATATTGACTTCATACCGGACATTAATACTATTAATCCGTGCTTTTAAGTATTTTTAGTACTTCACTTATTGATTTAACATAAATAAAAACACTAATTTATATAACAGAAGAAATGTAGACGGTTTATTGTCTAAAACATTAAGAAAATTTATATAAAAATTATATTAATGCACTACGCGTACTTAACTACTTAACCGATTAACTGACGACTTGCTAACTAACTGATTGACGTTATTGTTACATCGCGCTGTTTTATATTGTGTTGAGTTCTAGAAGATTCTTTTACGGAGCGATCGAGAACATTCGCGCGTATATGAATTTTGTGTTGCCTATCCGTCTCGAAGATTCTCGATCATTCCATAGTCACTACATATTTTAATTTTATTTTTATATTTAAATGTGTAATAAATTGACTCCACAATTTTTTAATCACGGTGTTACGTCTAATTTATTTTCAAACAGCCTTTATAACGTGTCAAAATTACTCAAATAAATTAAAATTGGATTATTTGAATGTTTCAGAGGAATGCATATATTATAAACAGAAAAATATTATAAATAAGGGAAACAAATCATAAATACACCTCTAGAGTTTATCATAAAATTACTGGCTGATTATGTGTTCAGAATACCTTAACAAAATTTATAAATACATATAATTCCAAGCCCTATTTTTCAAAAGAAAAGAAATTCTAGTTAAGATTACTAGAATTTCCAATTAGAACTATTTTAATGCAAATGATTGAAATATATTTAAAAACTCTTCTATTCAGGGTTAAAATAAAATATTCCTACCTTAATCTGTATTACGTTTTTTTAGAATGATAAAATATTATGACAAAACCTACTTTTATAATACCGATATTATTTTTTATAGCTGAATAATTTTAAATAATAGCAAAATTTATTTGCTCAGTCTATGATTAATAGAAACTTATTAATCAAGTTATATTAAATAAATAACTTTGACATTGTATCTTAAACTAAAATAAATTTACTGATTCATCAAGATATAAAATTAAAAAAAATATTATATATCATATTTTAATTAAATTTTTTAATGTTCATTAAAAGGATCAGCTGAAGACGAATGTCCCCTTTGTTTTGAAAAAGTACCTCTGATTATGTATACAATTCCATGTGGACACTTATATTGTGAGAGCTGTTATAACAACTATTTATTAAAGCAAAATGATAAACTCCCATTTAAAATAAATAAAAATGGAATATACTGCTTTCAATGTTATGAACTAGCTGAAGCTAGTGGCAAACTAACAGAGTAATGTATTATTCTGTACAGTATTTAATAAAATTATTTTTCAAAATAGATTGTACTTAATTATGTCAATACTTTTATATATGTACTTGAGTTTGCTAATTTGTTTTATATAATTTCTATCAACACCTATTTATAACTATATATTTTAGCTGAGTTATATAATGGTATTGATACCGTGTAAAAGTAATAAGTTCTTTTTTTAAATTTTATCTTAAATAACTATTGAAATTTAAATAGCTTACAAATTGAGTATAAGAATAAAAAAATTATTAATGATCATACAATTCTAACATGTTTAGTTAAAATAAAATGTTGACTTCCATGAAAAAAATATTACTTTTAGTGTATTAACCTTTACAGGTTACAATAAATTTTTTGAAAGTTATGTAGCTTTTCCTGGTGTCTCAACGTGTTTTTAGTATTTTGACCAAAAAACAAAAAACGAAGTCTGTTATTCAATTTTTGGTCAAATATTATGATTAGTATATCAAAATAGTTTTATTTTTATGCAGAATACGAATTTCTTAGTTTCAAAATTTTAAGTCGAAAATGAAAGCGTGTATATTATAATTAGCGTCATTATATGGTATATTTCTAATAGATATCAAGTAAGCTTAAATTATTTTTTTTATGAAGTTTGTCTGATATTAAATTTAATGTTTTATTGTATTATATTTAATAAAAAGTGAATTGTTTAAAAAAAATGTATATTTGAAAAAGTATGCAAAGCAATCTTCATTAATTTATATTTTCAAGAATATCGTATATTTTAGCACATGTATTAATTATAAAAAAATTTTTTATACATAAGTTTTTAAAATTAGTGAAGAATTCTTTTTCTACTTACAACATGCATAAATATCAGCCAAACTGCATAAAAAAAAATTTAAGTTTGCTTGAGAACTACTAGAAATATACCCTATTTTCGACTTAGAATTTTGAAACTAAAAATTAATGTAATCTACATAAAAATCAAACTATTTTGATATACTACTCATAATATATGACCAAAAATTGAATAATAGAGGTTGTTTTTTGTTTTTTGGGGCATTTTTGATAAAAATACTAAAAACACGTTGAACCCCAGAAAATTTTTTTTAAAGATCTCAAATTTTCACAAAATGCCTACTTTAATGTATATAATAAAGTTAAATTGGTTTTCATTAAAATTACAAAGATCGAATTATTTTTGATCCACCCTAATATACAGGGTGGCCCACCACTCGCTGACAACTTAAATAACTTTTGATCCAGTTAATATTTTTAGCTGATTTTTTTATTAAATAATAGTTATACGTTAGGTCTATAGCTATATCTCAATAATTACATTTTTTACATTTTATTAAAAATATTAATTATTTTTAAATTTTAAATAAAATGTAAAAACAAAATCTAAGATAGCTATTTTGTAGAGTAGAATTTAAGAAAAATTTTAGTAAAAAAATATCTTATTAATATTCAGTAGTAAATATTCTGTAGCGTTTTGAAGTTTGTGAAAATTTGAATTTTCATGTACTATTTTACGGTATTAAACATTGAAATACGTATTGAGAAAAGGACAGAAGAAAACGCTATCTTTTCATGATTACTGTGTATACATATGATGATAGTGTGTATACATTACAAACTTGGCATAAATATCATGATAAGAAATTAGATAAGGTAATTATTACTTATCACTCTCATTCAAAAGTATATTAAAAAGATAGCGTTTTCTTCTGTCCTTTTCTAGACCTAACGTCTAACTAATATTTAAAAAAAAAATCAGCTAAAAATATTAACTGGATCAAAAGTTATTTAAGTTGTCAGTGAGTGGTGGGCCACCCTGTATATATATACAGTAGAACTCCAATTATCCGAATTAATGAGGACCGGGACCCATTCACTGACTAATCAAAACAAACAATGACAGGTGACTGCAATGCGCCGGAACTGGAGTGGGAACTCTTACCACGTGTTGTGCCTACACTGACGCCGCGGACTTTGGACAAATTTTTTTCTGATTTTTTCTGAAAGTGATTCAGATAATCGGCGATTCGGATGGTCGGAGTTCGGATAATTGGAGTTCTACTGTATGTATATACAGAGTGAACGAAATCTGGTAAGACACTTATTTTCTCAGAAACTATTGGGAATTTAAAATTTTCGTAAAAAGAAAAATTATTAAGTTTATAAAACTCTACAATAATATGAAGTTTAATAAATTTTTTTTTATCCCTTCATAGATAAAAATGTTTAATTATAATTTTTTTAATTGGGAAACACTATTTTTGATTTGATAATATGATAGAAAAAAAAATTACAAACAATTTTGTTCTTATAATTTTTTTTATCCGAACAACCGTTTACATTTTATAATTGTTTAAAGATTTTGACTTTCAGAAAAAATATTGTCATTTGTTACGTTTTATAATATCGGTGGCAGTGTAGCCGGTATTTTTGTTAGATCCTTTAGTCTTACAAAAACATAGACTTGGCTATTAATAATACAACGAAAACTCGGTTTGAATCTTTTATTGTTATCACTCATTTAGTGCGTATTAAATTTTTATAGCTAATTTACCTGTCATAACTTGAACAATACAATTTGGTTTATGCAACAGCAAATAAAAATAATGACTTCTGTATTTAATACAGTAAAATAACAATATAAATTTGGCCTAAAATCATTAACTTTATCACGTAATCCAGTAAGAGTACAGACGCACAAGTTGTTATAATTAAAAATATTTTCACAACGAACGGAAAACTGACCTAGGTGACACACAAAAAAAAAACGGAATAGCCACCTTAGTAAAGATTATGTTATCTTAGACACACTTATTTTTGTCTACTGCCGTCACGTATGCCACGGCTATGTACAGGTATATATCTATCTATCAGCCGGAAACGAAACAAAACGCAATATCCGTAATCCATACTCGGCGGCGGCGGCGTTATCTCAATGTCAAGGGCGGGCAGACAACCGATGACAACTGATTGTCATATTAATAGCTGGACGGCTGATATCGAGAGAGACACTGGTGAGCCTAGAGCGTAGGGCGGTTCTGTGTCAACTTAAACAAGCTGTAACGAACGAACGGTTAATCGGATAAAAAAAATTACAAGAACAAAATTGTTTGTAAATTTTTTCTTTATCATACTATAAAGTTAAAAATAAGGGTTCCCATTTAAGAAAATAATAAATAAGGGTTTATATCCTTGAAGGCACGAAAAAAATAATGGTTTGACTACATATTATTGTAGAGTTTTTTGAACTTGATATGTTTTTGCTATAATAAAATTTAAAATTCTCAATATTTTCTGAGAAAATAAGTGTCTTACCAGATTTCGATCACCTTGTGTACATAAGTTACATTTGTTCTATTATGCAAACATTCAAAGTTTTTTTCTTATAATAGAACTATTATAAACTATGTTAATTAACTTATATTATTACTAATAAATTTAGACAAGAATATGCGGATATTTTAGCACAAAATAATTTTTTTATACCTCGAATAAAACAATCGATATTCATGGAGGATATTGATAAGTTTAAAATAAGTGAAGAAAATGGAGAAAGTGATGACTAAATTTTATTTTTATTTACAGTTTAAAAGTTTTTTGTTAATGTTTGTAATGTTAAATTAGTGTTCACAAATATTACCATGTAAAAATTTTCAAAAGACAACATACCATTATTTTTTTTGTTATTTTATGCTATCCAATATTTTTGAATTTAACTGTAAAAATTTTTTTTAATATTCTTGTTAATTTTATGCCTATATATTTATAGAGTTTCTGCAGATACTGTATGTTACATATAGTTACGTTAAAAATGTAATAGTATTATACTGAAATTAAATAAAGCTTATTGCAATATATTGTTTATATTAAATTAAAAATAATAATAACTGCATTTATACATACATAATATGTATTACATATGTTATATTAAAGCCAACTATAGCAGGGTTTGATATTAAATATAAGGAAAATTAAATTTTTTAGAATTGATGGGAAGCTGAGAAGGTATTTTTTTACTGTTTAATGATCTCAGATAGACTTCACTTAACAAAATAATCAAAATAATTTTCTCGGTCCTTCAATAATAAACTTTTTTTTCAATTAAAAAAAAATTCTAATGAATTAAAAAAAAATTTTTGTGAAAGATAACCAATATAAAATGTAGTAAAAAAAATAAATACATTGAATTCATTACTTAAATTTGAATTGAGTTATGAATTACGTTTTCACATTTATCACAATAGCAATTAGTATCATTTCATATCACATGTTTTTTACCTTATTACTTTTAGACTGTTTAACTTTATAATGTATAATACAGGTTCAACAAACCTCGCAGTATATCCCTTATTTCCTGATAAATCAAACAGGTAGTATCAACTATTGGGGTTGGGCATTTCACTATTTCTGTTAAAATGATAACTATTTTTCTAAAAATGGACTCTTTTAGAACGTAATTTTGGGAAGGCCGTGTCTCTTATGTCCCCCTTTGAATTAGCGCCTAGGTATATCTTACCTAAATGCTGTTACAGTAAAGGAATAGTGCACGTAAAATAACCTTTATAAACTGATATGAATGTTAATATGTTTGATAAATAATATAATGTAGTATGTATGACTACGATTTTTTTCTCTCTTGCTTGCAGGTAAAACAACATTACTTGAAAAAAAATAGAAGGAAAGACTGAAAAAACTTTCGCCTGACAAATCGGGCAAGTCATTTTAAATAACCGATTAAAAGTTCTATTGAAGTTATATTACCCAGTAATATAAATGCATATTTGAAAAATGTATTTTATATTTATATTTTACATGTATATTTGTACGTAAATATGAGTATATATTTAATTGTTATTATTAAAAAATTTTCCGTAACTTAACTAAAATATGTATTTCCTGAAATTTATTAACTTTACAAATTCCAAAGTTAACGACTACATTTGACTTCTATTTACTATGAATATAGAGCTAAAAATGTACATTAAAAAAGTCATATAGAGTAATACGTGCAGTTATTAGCACAAAAAATTAACTTAAAAAGTATGATAACTCAAAAAGTTGGAAAATAAAATAAAATATATTTATTTGTTTAAATTTATATTATGAGTTGAAGATAGATAATTCTTACGATAGAGAAAAATTGTAGTAGTTTGTTCATCATTAGAACAATGATGATATTTTGAAAATAATAAAATACTCTATTAATATAATAATTATAACTTATATTTATAAATTCATTGTATTAATGACGAATTATTATTCTATATCTATATCATTTTGATAAATAATTGTTCATGGTTATGAAATGATTTTTAAAGAATTAGGTAATTTTTTTTCAATAAGATAATGAATTTTTATTAAATTACACATACTGTGCACAAATAAAAAATCCCATATTAAATTATAAATTGAATTTTAATTATAGTTGTAGTTTACTTAAGTAAACACGATATTTAATATAAGTCGTGTAATATTTATAATATTATAAATAATTAAAAAAAAAAAATTTAAACCAATAAAAACATAATTTATATTAAAAAAAATATTTTGTTACAATGTATGACTTTTATTTTTATAAAAAGAATTGACAATAATATATTTTTCCATATGCTCAGGTGTCACATTTGTTCTTCTATCACATAGTATATGTTTATAAAGACTAAATGATCTTTCCACATCTACTGATGTCAGTGGTGCATACTTCATATTGGCCACAGAACTAGGGTTGAAGTTTTCTGGAAGTTGTATTTCATTGTTACCTGATATAATTAGTCCAATTTGTTCCATTACTTGAAACCCTTTATTTTTCTGATATAATTGAGATATTTTAGTTTTTATAATAGAACCTTTGTTACCCTGTATATTTGATAATTCTGAAATAATATTTTTTATAATCTCTAGTGATTGTAATAAAGTTAATTTAGTATCTTCTAAATTTGTAATTGCCCGAATGAGTCCAGAAAAGTTAATTTTTATAAATGCTAAATCATTTTTTATTGTTGGCAAATTCAACATTTTCTTACAACTCTCTACACATGCTGACGATTCATTGTCTAGTTTTTCTATTACAGTTTTAATACCTTCATAGTTATTTGAATTAAATATAACTGCTTCTATCCACGTACCCTATCTTGTAATAACTGGTTCAGGTGGCAATGGCAAACCGGGAAGTATTTCTTTATAAAGTTGAATACGATAAGGTGACTTTAAAAAAGATTTTTTCAAATTGTTTATTAATTTATTTACATTTGGGAATAATTCCCTAACTTTTTCTGCCACCCTATTTAACACGTGTGCTATACATGTTACGTGTATAATATTTGGGTAAAATACTTTTATTGCATCTCCCGTTTTTAACATATATGGTGCTGCATCTGATACAAACAACCGGAGGTTTTCATCGTTTCCCCCTGCAGGCCATAACATTTTTAAGCTGTCATTAATGAACCGAGATACTGTAGAGTGATTAGTTTTAGGCAGTTCTTTAGATGCTAAAATATAGGGTTGACTTGGTGAATCTTGTTTTAAAACGCCAACTATTAAATTTGCTATGTAGCGGCCGTTTGTATCAGTTGTTTCGTCAACAGCGATCCAAATATCTGAGTTGCCAATAACTTCTCTTATTGCAATAATAACATTATGATAACATGGACCAAGATAATTTTTTCTTAATAAACTCTCGTCAGGAATATGCTTACCTGTATACTTCTCCAAAAAATTCTTGAATTCAGGAATTTGAAGTTTATTCCAAGGTATATTAGATACTACCAAAGCTGAACAAAGATCCTCATTAAAAACGTTACCAGATTTCGATTTTGCATCCAATACAAATAATTGTTTTTTGTTTTCATTTGCTCTACGTTTTAAAGCACTATTATGAAAAGCGGTATCAACGTGTTGTTGTAATTGAAATTTTTTTGAGCACACGATTTTTTTGTCACACAATTGACAAAACACTAAAGAGCCGTCCGTGGTAAAAACGATTTGGTCAGTTTTATTAAAAAGACCAATCCATGTTTTTAATAAAGTAGGCATAGAGCTACGACTTTTCGGCATTTTAAAATCTAATCTTATTGAAATATAAATTGTAATTTATAAATTTACGGAACGCAGATCGCCAAATAATGTATGGACACTAGTGCACTATTGAGTGGGGATTATGTCCGATAACCACGACGCGGCATGTATACAAAATATAACACTAAAAATAAAACCAGTTAGCATTGTTGCGATAAACGAATTATAATTTTTACATGAACTGTCTAAAAATATAACATACGATGAATAACATTTATTTCCCCAAAAATCGTAATGAACTAATAATTTCTACGGTGAAATAAAAATTAAATAATTGGCTAAATAAACTTTTATACAAAATATGCTTGAATATGCAAAAAATTTCAAATATGCAGTCATCTCTAAAATATGCATTTATATGCAAAATAAACTTTTTCCTGCGCATTATTTGTTACACAAATCGTCCACATTTCTTACTCCCATCGAAATGCATACACTCATTACAAATATGCAAATACATACAAATCTGGACTCTACTTATGACAATAAAAACTAAAGGGCTTGATACAATACGATATAAAAATTTTTTATTAATTATTTTTATAAATAAATACTCTGGTTTACAAGGAACTCTCATTGGAATCATAATTATAATTTTCTAAATCAACTTTTTGCAAGGAAAGATAAGAGTCAAAGAAAATTTTATAATTACTATTTACAGTATATTTATCAGAAAAGCTCAATATTTTTTGGCATTTTAAAGCTATTTCGATAATAGATCATTTAAATAGAAATCATAGTTATCATCTCTGAAAACTTTTGGTGTTTAAAAATAGTTTACAATTGAAATATTCGAAACTTTATTAATTTTATAGATTTATCTTAACTAAAAAGACAACCAAAAAGTTGTTAAAAAAATCTTCTCAATTGAGATTATTGAATAATTAGATTATAATTGTAAAATTTAGGTGAAACTTAAAATTTATTTTTTTTTAGAAATGATTTATATAGCAACCTATTATCATATTAAACTTAATTAGACGACAATAAATACTTTAAAAATATTAAAAATGAATGATTATAATTGTCTGTATCACAAAACAAAACACAAAGAAAACTGTAGTAATACAAAATTAAAGTTAAAAAGGCGACTATGTGATATCGGGGTATTTTGACGAAGGTTGGATATTTGAGGATTCGCTCAATTTGTGAGCAACGGGGTTCTATCGGGGTGGTAGAGTTCGAGGGTTTAGGACAATAAAGACAAATAGATATAAAAAATGATTAAAGTTCATCTATAGAGGTATTAAAAATGACTTAACTGGTATTTACCTGTAATACGTAATCCAATATGCACGCACTAGCACTATATATATATCTAATATTATCAGTATAGTCTTACAATAACTAAAACGAGAAAAAGACCACTCGCAACAACGCGAGCAAATTAATTCAGTATTACGCGAGTCAATTACAATTGTCGTAATTGGTTGTTTTGTTTTATTTTAAACAACTTCCACAGTTATATAAGGCACAGGTAAACTGCGATGTTTCCAAGTCGCACCCGAACACAAACTTAAAAAGAACAGCGAAAAAGGTACACTCCAAAAACTCTAACCAGTTACGGTGTACGTCGAAAACGGAACAGAACGCAATATCGGTAATCCATATTCGGCGGCGGCCTTATCTCAGTGTCAAGGGCGGGGAGACGACCGATTACAACCGATTGTCATATTAATAGCTGGACGGCTGATATCGAGAGAGACACGGGTGAGCGCCAGCTTAGAGCAAAAGGCGGTGCCGTATCACCTGAAATAATACACTGAGGCAATGAAGAGGCGGTGCCATCTCACGAATAACATGTAATGTGATTATGTATAAGGTACGAACTAGTTGGTAACAATAAAGTTTGAAAATAAATATAAATATATTGTTTATGCTTTAACTTTAAGTTTAATTAATTTGACAAATAACTAATTTTGACAAAATTTGACAACTAAAATGTGGTTAATTACCTGTCGGATGAAGGCGATTATTTCGTCAAAAGATCAACAATTTTTTGTTCATCAATAAAAATTTAATACTTTTAGCTTGATTAAAAAAAAATAATAATATTATTACAATAATTAATTTGCCTTTACAATTAAGAAAACAATTAAAGTAAATTTATTTTGTACAATAAAAAAAAAACCACTAGGCTACAGTAGCCGAATATCAACGAAAGAAAGAAAAGTAAGTTAATGACAAACAATTTATCATACGCATAATAATTTTAAAAGCAATAGTTGCCGATAAAACGATAAACAGAAAAACACTTAAAATTAACTATTTACAATAACAGATGACAAACACACGAGAAGGGAAGGGAAAATTTTACAATGAGAGGCGCGAGAGAATATTACGATAACAAAGATTATTTACATATATATTTTGTACACTAATGCATGAATATCACCGCCCACCTTGAAGGAATCCCTTCAAGGGGTAGGTAACGGGCAGAGTTTCACTAACGGTCTTAGAAAGCGGCTGGTAGCTGTTTCTACCGTTGCAACACGGGTTACTCCATCGGAACTTGGATGCAGCAGACGAACACGACCCATCTTCCAATGTAGAGGATGAGTTGCTTCTTTAATTAATACAAGATTATTAATCTGTAGTTGATCATTATTGTCAGTCCATTTGTTTCTTAGTTGGAGACTAGAGAGGTACTCATTTTTCCAACGAGACCAAAAATGTCTATGTATATCCAAAATCAAACGCCACCGTTGCAGTTTTGACAGCGGAACGTTTTCTAAAGACGGTTCGGGTAACGTAGTTGAAGGCTCCAACGTGAGAAAGTGACTAGGCGTTAAGGCATCGAGATCATTTGGATCATTACTAAGAGCACAAAGCGGACGTGAATTTAACGTTGCCTCAATCTGCGTGAGTAGAGTGATAAATTCTTCATTTGTTAATTTGTGGGTTCCAATTGACCGATGAATGAGGGCTTTGGTGGATTTTACACCTGCTTCCCATAGTCCACCGAAGTGTGGCGAAGCAGGAGGATTAAAATGCCAAGTGATATTTTGTTTTGAAAGGTGTTCGTGAACAGTATTTTGGAAATCGTTTAAGGTCGTCAATGTATGTAGTGGCGAGAGACACTTATTTAATAGACGAGAGGCCCCCACAAAATTGGAACCACAGTCGCTGTGAATTTCCTGAATTGGTCCTCGTCGAGACGCAAATCGCGTGAACGCCATTAAAAATTTTTCCGTCGACAAATCAGAACTCAATTCCAAATGTATTGCCTTTGTGGCCATACATATAAATAAACAAATATAGGCAGATGTATCAGAACTTCGTCGCTCACGCGCTGANCGTCGCCCACGCGCTGATTTGAGAGAGATTGGCCCAGCGTAATCGACTCCGCTTATTGTAAAGGGTTTTATTTGTTGAACTCGATACTGAGGCAAATCGGCCATTTTCGGTTGTAGGCAACGTGGTTTCGTTCGAAAACAGGCAACACATAATCTTAAGCGTGATCGTATTGCTTTTCGAGCAGATTGTAGCAGATCGAAAAGACGAAAATCGGTTTAAGAGTTCAGTGATCGACGTAACGACATTCACCACTAGAACGGTTTGAGTTCTTTCCTCGATGTTGCAATTATAGTTGTCTGATTTATAAGTAGCAATTGGAGATGATGGCCAATTTTTTGGAGAACTCTTTAAAAATAAAGGACCTGACCACCACAATGGATGCTTGACAAGCTCTTCTGGGTATAGCCCACGAGAAGCACAATCTACAGGATTTTGTTGAGTGGGAACGTAATTCCAAATAGATGGTGGTGTAAGGTCTTGGATCTGGCTGGTACGATTTGCGACAAAAGTTTGCCAACGATGAGGCGAAGATTTCAGCCAAGCCAAAACAGTGGTAGAGTCTGTCCACGCAAAGAGACGGTTGACTTTGAGTCAATCTGTTATAGTCTCAACAACAAAGCGAAGTAGTTTCGCAGCAAGTAATGCACCACATAATTCCAAGCGAGGAATCGTATACTTTTTAAGTGGCGCTACTTTTGATTTTCCAATCAGTAATTGACAACAAATACAAGTAGATGTTTGAACTCGAAGATATACAGCAGCAGCATATCCCTTTTCTGAGCTATCAGAAAAAGCATGAAGTTGGGAAGAAATGACTTCATCAAGCGTTACTCGTCGAGGAATTGCAATACTTTCAATTAATTTCAATTCAGCTAGGTAACGCGTCCACATAATTTCAATTTCTGTGGGAACAGCGTCATCCCAGTCAATGCCTGCAGTCCAAAGTAACTGGATCATGTGTTTTGTCAAGAAAGTTACCGGTGAAAGCAGTCCTAAAGGGTCAAAAACTCGTGCTATGTCTGACAGGATTGAGCGTTTAGTCAGCTTGGTTGATGAAGTTTGAGTAATGAATGAAAAACTATCATCTTTTGGATTCCATCTTAAGCCAAGTACTTTAAGATCAGACTGTTCACTTTTATTAAGTAACAGGGATGGTGATATTGCTCTTGCATTTTCAGAGACGGCTTGAAGGATTTGACTACTATTACTTGCCCATTTTCGTAGTTCAAAATGGGCCAGGGAACACAATTTTATAAGTTGTGCTTGATAATCTAAAGATTCCTTTTCTGAATTAGCTCCAGTAATTATGTCATCCACAAACGTATCATTCAACAGTATTTCAGCTGCCTGTGGGTATAACTTGCCATCAACATTTGCTAACTCATGAATGGTACGCAATGCTTGGAAAGGAGCTGCGGATGTCCCATACGTGACTGTACACAATCGATATTCACTAATGGGGTCATTTTGTGAAAAACGCCAAAAAATTCTTAAGTAGTCTCGATCAGTCGGTTGTATTAATATTTGACGGTACATCTGTTTTACGTCTGTGATAAACAAGTATTTCCAAATCCGTGCACATAATAAAATAGCTTGTATATCAGGTTGAAGCTTAGGCCCAGTATACATAGATTCATTTAAAGACAAGCCAGCACTTGTACGTGCTGAAGCATTAAATACAACACGCAATTTGGTTGTCTTACTATCAGGTCGAAGTACACAATGATGAGGAATATAGTATGTGTGCGCATTTGCAATTTCTGTTAAAGGTACAAGTTCCATATGACCAGTAGTTAGATAATCTTTCATGAAGTCTACATATTGATCACGAAGAGTCTGATTGTTATTCAATCGAGCTTCTAAAAATTTAAACCGACGTAAAGCCATAGATTTTGAATCTCCTAAGATAGGTCGAAGAGTTCTAAATGGGATAGTTACCATAAACTGTCCACCTTTGATACGAGTAGTAGTCTTTTGATAAATTTGTTCAGCCATTTTATCATCAGGACTTAAATGGCGAGTAAATGGTATTTCTTCTAAGTCCCAGAACTTTTTTAAAGTAGTATCCAGGGTCTCCGAAACAGTAATATTTAATGAAGTAATTTCTAATTTATTACACTGTTCAACTGGTCCCATTAAAGTCCATCCAAAAATAGTTTCCATAGCAATTGGTTGACCTGGTTTACCAGACATTTTTCCATCAAGAAATATTTCAGGTAAGATGTCTGCCCCAAGTAACAAATCAATTGAACCAGGAACATTGTATAATGGATCAGCCAGTGATAGGTTTTTCAAGTGTGGCCAATTCCCATGTATTAAAGAAGTTTGTGGAGTAGTTCCTGTTATATGAGCAACAATCAAAGCTTCTATACACAAAGATGGTGACTGACTATCACGAGGTACCAATGTAACATTTGATTTTCCCCGAACAGTCGCCGAAGTCTGGTTTGCAAACGTAGTAATTTTAACACTTGAGGGACACTTTTTTAACATTAACAAATTGACACAATGTTCAGTCATAAAACTTGCTTGCGAGCCACTATCTAATAGGGCTCTGAAAGTTTACCGATTGCCATTTGCAGCCAACACATCCAAAAGTACAGTGGACAATAATATTATTCGCTGTGGTTGACTTCTAACAACTAACGACGAAGTACTTTGTTCTTCACCAGCTGCTTTAGTGGTCGGAGAAGACGAAGACCCGAAATGCAGCAGTGTATGGTGAGATCGATTACATGTCTGACATTTGTTTTTAGAGGAACATGACACAGAAGAATGACCCAGACCGAGACAATTAATACAAAGATGGTGAGATTTTGCTATTTGAAAACGTTCTTGGGTGAAATCACAGCTGTTCAGCCTATTAAATATAATCTCAAATTGGAGGCCTCTTACCATATACCGCGATCAGAAGCACCGCCCGAGGACCGTGCCTTCAAGACACGGGCTAGGGCGTTGTTGTCCGACACGGATATTGTAGGTGCGGTCAATGACGATTTCGAGATTATGCTCGCTGAGGAAGATGTGTACTCGGGTAGGGGTAGCGGATTCACGATAGCGCATATCGATGGTCTCATGCTCAGTGTATACAAGTATACGCCCCTCACCGGCTCATCATATATTCCGATCCCACCTGAAATTTTACATAGAAAGGCAATCATCAATCCGCAAAACATCGATCAGTCCTGTTTCAAGTGGGCCATTTTGGCCCGACACGTTGGGGTTAATAATAATACGCGTGTTAATCAAAAATATTTTAACGAGGAACACAGGTATGATTTCACGGGGTTGACGTTCCCCACACCTATGTCCCAAATTAAAATATTTGAGCGACGAAACCCTAACGTGTCTGTCAACGTGTACGGTTTGGAACGAGACGACGTTAAGATGAAGTGGTCGGTGTATCCTCTAAGAGTCGCCGACCAAGAACAACAAAATCATTTTGACCTGTTGTACATCGGTGACTCTGACAAGTATCATTACGCGTACATTTCAAATTTTTCGAGGCTTGTGCGCAGTCAAAAAACTAAACACAAATGTCGCATATACACTTGCAGACGTTGCTTCACTAGCTTTGATGATCAGTCTAAAAAGCATATTCTTCGGGGTCATCAAGCGTTGGAGCAACACAAGTTGATATGCGGCAAGAACAAGCCTATTTTACCCGTTATGCCGGCGGAGGGCAGTAAGGTCGAATTTGACGCGTGGGTAAAGACTCAACGGTTACCGTTTGTCATCTACGCCGATTTTGAGGCCTTGCTGGAGCAAACAGACGATCGTATGGGTGCATACACCAGGACTGTGCACACCCACCATCCCATGAGCTATGGGTTCATGGTGAAAACATCGGACGATGTGCCCTCCGAGCTCCTCGAACGCTACGGTATACCGCAATCACCGGTGATATACCGTGGGTCCGAGGATCGCGAAGAGGTCGCCAAGGCATTTGTGATGGCTGTAACTGAAGTGACGCGCAACATTTCTAAATTGTTGCGCAAAACCAACGTTCCCATCCGAATGTCTATCGATGATGTGCGCAGGCACGGGGAGAAAGTGGTATGCGACTTGTGCCGCACGGCATTCAAGGATTCCAACCCCAAAGTCGCAGACCACTGCCATTTATCGGGCCGATTCAGACAGACGTTGTGCAATGCATGTAACCTGAAAGTAAAGACGGTCAATTTTGTGCCGTGCTTCTTGCACAATCTTTCGGGTTACGACGCGCATTTCATCGTCACTGAATTGGGGTACGACGACCAAAGGATTTCGGTTATACCGAATTCCGAGGAGAAGTATATTTCGGTCACGAAACACGTGACCAATAACTTCTCCATACGGTTTGTCGACACCTTCCGGTTCATGGCCTCCTCCCTGTCCACCTTGGCCGGTAACCTAATGACACCTGTTTTCGTTAAATTCCGGGAGACGGCGAAGGTGTTCCTCCCGGAAGACATGCCGTTGGTAACGCGTAAGGGCGTATACCCTTACGAGTACACTGATAGTTGGGCTAAATTGGTCGAAACGGTACTACCACCCCGCGACGCTTTCTATAGTCAGTTGAATGAGTCGAATATCGATGACGACGACTATAGACACGCCACAGAGGTGTGGAATCGTTTCGGTTGCTCAACCCTCGGTGAGTACAGCGACCTATACCTAAAGATTGACGTGCTGTTGTTGGCCGACGTGTTTGAGAACTTTCGCGACATCTGTACTACAACATACAATTTGGACCCGGCGCACTATTATACCGCACCGGGTTTTAGCTTCGATTGTATGTTGAAATACACCAGGATGAAGCTGGAGCTCTTGAACGACTACGACATGCTACTGATGGTGGAGCAGGGCATTCGTGGTGGGCTGGTGCAGGCCGTCAAGCACTATGCCAAGGCCAACAATCCAAAGACACCTGGCTACGATCCGACAAAACCAAACTCATGGATCGTGTATCAAGATTGTAAGTATTATATATAAAAGTACAATAATTGAGCTGTGAATTAAAAACGTTTAATGTATATAGGCAATAACCTTTACGGGTGGGCTATGAGTCAGCCCATACCGTACGGTGGCTTCCGGTGGTATGAAGGATCAGATCCTCTGGCCGATCTCCAATTGCTTTCGGACACTGGTAATACGGGGCGTATATATGAAGTAGATGTATCGTATCCAGAAGGGCTGCATGACGAGCACAACGACTTGCCGTTCTTGCCTGTCAACGATGTACCACCGGGTTCCAAAGNAAACGATGTACCACCGGGTTCCAAAGAGACCAAACTCATGGCCACTTTGAAACCCAAACAACGATACGTCGTACACTATGTCAACTTGAAACAGGCGATCGCACACGGACTGCAAGTCGATAAAGTATATACATCGTACCTAGAG